GTCATTTTGCAGCCATAGTCTTCGCCGCAGGTTTAAGGGTACATCTTCCAAAAGAGTTGGAAGCCGTTCCTGAAGGAACTCTAAATAACTGTGAGAGTTGAGCGTTGGCGGCAGCTCCACAGGTCCCAATATCTGACAATTAAAAATACCGCACCATAAATTTATTTTGTACCGGTACTGCGAACGATCTTCTCTCATTTCGTGAGGATTGTCTATCTGCCAACTGTGAAGGTTATGTAAATTAAAATAACCACGTTTGCATGATGATTCATCCCTCCAAATTATTTTATTAAAAAAGTTGGGGTCTGATGCATGCATTCGCAACATTTCACGGCAAAATCTAACCCTCGACAGGTAATCTCTTTCCTGTAGAGCCTGAACACGTTGAATGTGGTAGGGATGAAATTGATGGTCTTTTAAAGCTTTGTGAACTATAGTTTTTTGTATTCCCGTCCGTCTTTCCTTCATTCTCACTGAAGTCGATGGACCTAGTTCCACTTCCTCTAACACAGCTTCAACATCTACCGTTGCAGGACGTCCTGTTTCGCCGGCACGCCTTCCAGGTACGCGACCTTAAAAAAGTGAAAAATGATAGTTAACAAGCAAGCAAACAAGAAAGGTGTAAAAATCACTTACCTTCATATATTTCTCTATGGGTCCGGGCGAATACTTCACGACCCGGATGTCGACGATTGGGGTATCACTCTGCATAGAGTCTTTGAGCAGCTCTGGCATTAAAGCAAGCTTCACCGTAAATTAGGTGAATATCCGCATATTCATGCGACGTATACTGCGTGTTCTCTGTCATAGTATTAATAACACAATGTTCGAAGGGTCCAATTTCACAAAATCCACTTTCACTAATTCCGGTAAGTAACACAAAATAATGTCAGGAGCAGGTAATAATGCACCTTTGTACCATTTCTATTAAATACATTATAGCGTGTCTCAGTCCTTTACCCACAAAAGCGGCTATAACTTTTTTTTTTCTATTCGAAACAGTAAGTGTGGTACCTTTCTAAAATCTTTATGAAATTAGAAATTTTTTTATGTAATGTAAAGTTATAGCTCAGTACATTTTTTTTTTCACCCGAGATAGTCAAAGTTGGGGAAGAAAATATCAAAAAGTTAAAAATCCAGGAATAGTCCTAATTTTATGATGGTTCCTTAATATATTTTAACTACATTGCATTTGAGTATGGAGAGGCAACTATCTGGAAGTATTTTACATAAAAAATTTACTAAGTATTGCCCGGTTTGTAGTTGCAGTTAAAGAAAACACATGAAAAAGCACGATTTTTTTTAAATTCGAAAAAATGTAAATATTTAAAAAACGGTGACACTT